GGGGGGGGGGGGCGGCAGTCATCTTGCTGGGATCTCCTTCCTGTCTTGATAGAAGAGGACTACACATACCTCTCAGCCTTTCTGAAAGTTCACTGGGGAGCCAGGAAGGAGTAGGCTCCACCTCCCTGTACTGTGTCCCTTATCCTCAAGCTGCTCTCCTGACCCCCCAGGTCCTCTCTTTGTCACCCAGGTGCCCCTGTCCACATACCCCTGCGTTGTGCCTGTCCTCGCCCTCCTGTCTCATTGCCCTCTTATGTGCTAGACAAGTGCCTTGCTTGGACCTGCACCCTCCTTCACAGCTAGGAGGGCAGCCCAGGTGGGAGCTCTGAGAGGGGGACCCCCACCTCTGCTCTCTTGGGAAGTTAGAGCAGCAGGCTCCTTGAAGAGCACAGCATGGGTCAGCCCTCCAGGACCTCTTTCCCCTCCCATGCATATCTCCTTTCCCTGGGTGGAAGGCGTCCACTCTGCCTTGGCTGCCGTTTGCCCGGGCTTCTGAGCTAGTGTGAGCAAGCTGCTTTCCTGGCCCCCAGGGGCCTCTTCTTCTAAACCGGGACTGAGCCAGGGCCAGAGTGCACTCATAGTCTCACTGCCCTGGCCAGCTGGGGTCCACGGCAGAGCAGCTGTGCCATGGGAGGTGCTGGCCCCCATGCTAGAGGGCAGGGTGCTGTGATAACTTTGGCAGCAGGAGGCCCCGCACTGATTGGTGTCCACCCGCGTGTGCCCCTTATGTGTGCGGGGAGCCAGGCCCCTAACGTCCCTGCTTCTCCACCTACAGGTTACGTGTTCTGTATGTTACACCGCCTCCCTGAGCAGCACGATTGTACGTTCGACCACATGGGCCGCGGCCGTGAGGAAGCCATCATGAAAATGGTGAAACTGGACCGGAAAGTGGGGCGCTCCTGCCAGCGCATCGGGGAGGGGTGCTCCTGAAGGCCGGGCATGGCCACCACACGACGCTGTTCTTAGTTCACTAATGTTAGCCTTATTTAGGACAAAGTCAGCCAGACACCTTGTACTGGGCACGCGTCAGACTACAGCCAGCCGTTCCCTTTCTTTAGCCAGCCATCCTGGTACTGTAGTTTAGGGGTTGATGGTGGTTGAAATTGATTTCTGGCTGGTTACTAAGGTGCCTGCTAGCCATTGTATAAAATTAAAACATGAAGAATATTTTTTTTGAGCATGGCTAGTGGATTCAAAACAACACACCTGTCACTGCTGGAGTCAGACTTAAAAAGCCTTAAGCGGAAAGTGTTGCTGAGGAGCAGGCGCCGGCCCCACAGCCCTCGCTGGGCGGTGTCGCCACAGCTGCTCCGTGTTCGCCTTTCACCTCTTCACTTTTGCTTGGTCCCAGCAGGACCTGATGGCCACGCGTGCCTTGGCCACGGGAGGCTGCTGAGACTGGCCACACGGCTGGGCTGGGTGGTGCCTCGCTCTCCCACAGAGCTGGGAATGGGGGGTGGGGGGCGGATTCTTAGGGAAGTTTTTTACCTGACTTGTTTTGGGAAAACTCATCACACAGGAAAAGAAGCAACCTCACTTTGAAAGTTAGCTCCACTGAAGACTAGTCCACGCATGAGCCCCACCTTTTCTACCCAGGATCCAAGGCCATGACCCACTGGCTCCGGCTGCATTGCACCAGGGGCCAGGGTCTGGCTCCGGGCTGGGGCCTGCACACGGGCCTCTGCAGCCAGATTTCTATATTGGGAGGGTTTTTTGTTGTGGTTTTTTGTTGTGGTTTTTTTTAAAGACACTTTGTGGCCACCCGGCATCTATGTGCTGGGGAACACCTAGGGAAGCTGCTGGGCTGGAGCCTGCTTGTCTTTTTGGGGGCCAGGAGGATGATATGTGTGTGGCCTCCACTCATTTCTATGCAGCCCATAGTCTGAGGACAACCAGTCTGCTTCTTCCACAGGGCAGGTTTAGGAAGAGCAAGCTGCACAGGACCCTGGTGTGGCTCTCTCCAGCCATGGCTGGTGGCGGTTGTGGCACGGGGTGGGAGGCCTCGCTCAGCCTGGGCCTTCTCTGGTGCAGAGGCACACAGCAGCTCAGGCCAGGTGGGGCCTGTGTGGGGGCTGCTTAGAAGCCCATTAGCAGTCAGGTGGGCGGGGCTGGGAAGACATTGGGATTCCTTAGAAGCCTGGATCGGTGAGTGGGCCCCGGCTGTCTGGTCCAGGCCTGTGAACTGGTGTGGGCTGCCCACGCTTGGCTGCCGATGGATGGTTTAACCCAGCAACTTTCTTTTGTATGAGACAACAAAGTTCAACTCTGCAGATTAACAGTGGGACATCTGCAAATTCAAATGTCTTTTGATGCAAAATAATTACTAGGAAATCATGTTCTCCCCACTCCTGCACCCGCCCCTGCATCCACCAGATGGACTCTGCTGCAGAATCTCCAGCCTTAACTCTTGCTTCAGGACCCAGACCAGCGCCTCGCTCTAGGGCAGCCCAGGGCACAGGGGCCAGGTCTGCCCGGCGTTTACCACTGTTGTCAAGCCACAGCCCACTGGCCACCACATGGCCATCCTCAGTGAGCACCCGCAGAGCTCTGATTCCGGAAGAGGCCACAGGTGCCCTTCTCAGCCCCCCACCCAGACCCCAGCAGCTGCTGCCTTCTGCAGCACTGGGAGAGGGCGCTGCAGACCGCACACCCAGGGATCAAGGTCAAGTTCACTTCCTGCCGGGAGAGCTGGGTGGGGGAGGAAGGGCTTGTTCCCCTGCAGTATCTGTTCTGTGAAGTTTGTTAAATGTAAGGGAAGCTTAAATTCTTGTATCTTTAAAGAGAAAATCTTATTTAACCCTTTTGTGTTCTAGATTGACTTACATAGCTTAGAGCTCAGTTTTAGTTTTAACATTGTGAAGATATTAAAAGAATCTTGTAACTTTATTCTTTTTTCTCCTGCTGAAAAAAAAAATTAAACCAATCGTATGAACATTTGGATTTCTCTATTTCCATGTTTCTCAACACCCTGGATCAGCAGAACAGCCCTGTTTGTGCACAGCCCTTGGGCTAACTCATCCACTGAGTGTCCAGGCCCAGCAGCCGCTTCCCTGATGTCTTTTGGGCCTGCCCTGGGAGGCTATGGTGCAGATGTCGGGGTGGGATGGGGGGTGAGGCCCCCAGGCATGGGTGGGTTGGGGGCCTGGGGCCCTTGGGTCTAGCACTGGAGAGGAGGGCGGGTAGGAAGAACCTGCTGGCTCCTTGCAATATGGCCAAAGGGATGTGCATGTGGCCTCTGGCACAGGGGATGCACTTAATATATCTTGAAATACTGACATTTGGCAGGTATAAGGCAGAGGAGTGGCACTTACCCATAACCCCACAGCCGCACGAAGATGACTAAAAATGGTCAGGAAGTTCAGAGTGCTTGGGTGGGGTCGGGACAAGAGCAGGAGGAGCAAGAGCTGGTCTGGTGGCTGGAGTGGCAGTGCATGGACCTCAGAGGCTGGGACACAGAAAGTCCAGCAAGGAGGCCTCAGGGAAGGAGACACGGACAGCTTGTGGAGCAGCAGTCTTCGGGGATGAAGCTGCTTCCTTCAGGGACCTGTGAGCCCCTTTCCCCCAGAGAAGGCTGTCATCCAGAGCCCCGCCAGACAGGCACAGCAGCACTAGAAAGTTCAACAGCAGTCTGCAGCCCAGAGCTCTCACAGCTGCTTAGCTAAGGGAAGGTTCCAGACTAGTGTCCCTGGAGCCAGAGAGAGTGGGCGTTGGATTTACACTTCAGCCCCAGTTGTTTGGGGAAGGTTTCAGGTCTTGAGATATATGCAGAATATAAAAATAAAAATAGACAATTTGGGGGCTGCAGAGATGTCTCAGCAGTTGAGAGTGTGATCTGGTTGTCCAGAGGACCTGAGCTCAGTTTCCAGCACCTGCATCAGGTGGCTGACAACTGTCTGTAACTCTAGTTGCAGGGAATCTGACACCTCTGACCTCGGTGGTGGTGGTGGGGGGCTACATTCGTGTGCATACCCACACACACGTAATTTAAAAAGTTTTTTTAAAAAAGATAATTTGGGGCTGGAGAGATGGTTCAGCCAGCAGTTAAGAGCACTCTTGCAGAGAACCCGGGTTTGGTTTCCAGCACCTACACCACAATAACCACCTGTAACTCCAGTTCCAGAGAATCCAGTGCATCCTTCTGCCCTCTGCAGGCACTGCACAACATGGGTGTGTTTACACACATGCAGGCAAAACACTCATACACAAAAATTTTTTAAATAGGATAATTTTTAAGTGCCCCACCCCCAAATAAGGACGAGCCCCTGGCCCTTGGCATTCCCCAGTGACACAGTCATGAAAGCCCATGCAGATACCAGTGCTGTTGCTCTGGTGAGATCTAAGGTGGCGTCTGCCTAGAGCTGGGAATGGGATGCAAGTGTAGAGGTAACACCCCGGCCTCCGGAGACCAGTAGTCTGGTGGTTTAAAATATGGAAGAAAGCTAAGAAAAGGCTGAAGTCTACAGTCTGGTGGCAGGGAGAGGTGCAGCGAGCCTGCTTGCTTGACTTGGATGGCAGTGTTTGCAGTGAACTGAACCCAAGGCAGAACTGTGCATGACAGGAGGGACTGGTTTCCTCTTCTCTGCCGCCTGCCAGGACTTACTTGCCCTCCTTGCCAGTGGGTATGCCCAGGAGCCAGAAATGGGGTCTGCTGGGCCTCCCTGCGCACACTGGTGCTGAACCCCCTCCCCTTGGGTGCAGAGAAAGGTGCATTCCCAGGTACGTGGCAGCCAGTCCCTGCAGGATGTCTGGGTTACTGGCCTCAGCACAGGCCTGTGTAAGCAGGACTTCCAAACTGGGCCTCTTCAGACTTGTCTATACAGGTTTAATTCAGTCAGGTGGCCATCGTCCCCGGGGCTTTATGTGGTGCTGTGATGCACCTGCCACCTGCATCTGACCAAAACTAGAGCCCTGACCCTGGACCCCTTCTGAGAAGGCTGGGGCCAACCTCTGAAGGCTTTGCCTCCCAATGCACAGGTTGTGAGGGAGATATGGCTTGAGATGGCCAGACTTACAAGCCAGGGATAGCAGATGGGGGGTGGGGTAGGGAACCTGGAGTCTAAGGTCAAGAGTGCCTGCGCAGTCAGCACTCCACAGTCACAGGAAAAGGTGCTCAGGGCCACTCTGACCACGTGATTTAGGATGTGGCGACTCTCAAGTATCAGTGATTCTAAACCATTCATACTGAAGGCAGGATGGGAACCTTCCTCTGACTGCACAATTCTAGGAAACATCGTGAGAGTGGCCACCACAGGACACCTGGGGAGAGGGGAACCCCTAGATGCTGTTGCAGGGCATATTAAACTGATTATAGGCATTGTGAAAAAAGATAGAGTCCTTAAAAATTAGGACAGAACTGCTTGATCCGGCAATCCCAATGCTGGCATAGCCAGGGAAGTGAAGTGGGTATGTCCAAGACAACTGGCTTCTGTGCTTGGCACACTGTTGGCAAGAGCCAAAATGCAGACTCAACCTGTGTCTATCAGCGGCTGAATGCTCAGACTATGTCTACACAATATAGTAGTCATCCCTGAAAAAGGTTGGGATCCTGTCCCTAGGACATGGTTGCACCTAGGGGACATGGTGAGATAAGCCAGATACAATCTCAGATGAACCTGAAGAAGCTGCTCTCCCAAAGTGGGGCAAAGAATGGTGGTGGTGCCATGAAAAAGGGCTGGGGAGAGGCTGGTGGTGGGGGTAGTTAAGTCAGTAGCATGAATCCTGATGTCCTAGTACATGGAAGGGTGACTATACTCAGCCAAGATATACTTGTATCGATCTCAAACAGCTGTATTTTGGGCGCTTTCACAGATGATCAGTGTTGAAGGTGGCGGGTAGGGTGTAGGCCCTGATTATTCCAGGGTACACATGTGCCTTCCATCGTAGCCGGCCTACACCAAATCAAAGACAGGAAAAGGTTCCTGGTGGGTTTTCTCAAACCTGGCTTCCTAGTATTTCCTCCTCTGACTCCCTGAGCTGTGGACATGGACGCTCTGTGTGAGTGCATGATTTGGCCTGGCATGGCTGGCTCCTTGGTACAGCTCACCTGCACCCCAGGCGTCTGGTCTTCTGTGGTGTGCACGGGGCTGGGGCACTTCCCTGACCTTCAGCAGCTCTGGTAGGAAACCTACAGATAAGCCAAATGGGGTCAGCAGCACCTAGCGCAGGGGTGACAGACCCTCAGGGACAAGGGGACCCATCATCACCGGCTTCTGCTGCCCAGCTCCCACCCCAGCTGCTGGCGTGCAGGGCTCACCCCTTCCTGGCCTGCTGCCTGGGCTGAACTCTGGTGTGGTCCAAGTTGAAGCCAGTGGAACACGAGGGAGCTGGTGTGGATGTGCTGTCATAGTGATGGCATCTTTCTGAAACAAGACAGACGCCTTGCCCAGCTGCGGCCTCGCTCGCTCTCCCAGGCTGAGAAGCAAAACAACTTGGACCACTTAACAAGGTCTGCCTGCAAGCTGGAACACCCCGTCTGCTAGTGTACGAAGGCATGTGATCATGTGGCCATGGTAACCTGAGGAAGTCAGCTTTCCCATCCTTACTGTGAGCTTGACCATCTTGTGTAGTCCCGTGGCTTTCTTAAAGACCGTCTGTCTAGCTGGAACCTCTGGCCTGGCTCTGCCAGGGGAACTCCTGGCCTCTGCCGCCTTCTGAGCTGCTGGCAGATCCTGATGGCGGGTACACCTACTGCATCCCAGCCGCCCAGCCAAACTTCCTGTCCTCCAGTGACTGACCTCTGTGGGTGTTACACAGTGGGGTGAGGTGGTTCCTTCCACCCAGACCTGCCCTAGGGAACCAGCCAGACAGGGCTTCCCTCATGTCTCTGGGCCTCCCCTCAGCGCCACCTGTGGGAGCCTGCCTAGGCCTAAGTGCCCTTGACACAGGCTACACCAAAAGTTGCAGAGGAAAGTGAATGGGAAGTGAGCCTCAGGGTAGGGTCTGGAGATGGGACACACTTGTGTGTCTGAGTGGGACACACTTGCCAGACTCAGATCTAGGTCTGTGGTGTCCACAAGCACCCTGAGTTCAGCAAGGATTCTGGGTGCTCCTGGGCACCAGCACTAGATGCTAGAGAGGAGGGCTCAGGGGCAGGGCCATGGGTATGGAGTGCTGAAGGACACATACCAGCTCCTAGCTTGTCACAAACACACAGGTGGGTCATGTGGTATCAACCAGGCCGTGGGCGCGGGCTGGGAAATAGCTGGAAGGGCCATCTTGCTGGGGTGAGCGCTGCTTAGGGAATGAATTCTGAGCAGACAGCAGTGGCTAGGAGGGTAGAAGCCAGCAGGGGTCCACTGTCTGCCTCCCCTGCAAGGGGCTGTGTCCTGTGAACTCCCACAGGGGCAAGGCCTACAGAGACAGGAGACTGGAGGACTTGGGCTGGGGGTGGGGGGGCACTGCAGGAGCTGGCTGTGGAGAAAGTGAGGCAGGACCACAGGTGCAGGAAGTCTACAGCAAGCCTATGGTATTCCATGTACATCAACTGAGTCCCAGTAACACAGCTTGCAAAACTGAGGACTCCGCACCATGCTCATAGAGAACACATTCTAGTGATGTTGGTCTGGGGGCTTTCACAGAGAACTGTGCCCAGGGCTAGCCTGGCCCACACTGTCCCACCTGGGAGGGGAATGGGGACGGCACCCACAACTTTCATAGGCCCAAAAATCCAGTCAGCAGAGCGGAGGTGGCTCACATTCCCTGGGGAATCGGTCTACACAAATCACAAATTTGATATAAGTGGCTGGTGGGCCCAGCCCATGGCCGCCCTTAAGGAGCTGTCCCCCTCCCCCCACTGGAGGCACAGCCCACAGTCCTCTTGCTTTTGCAGACCGTGAGGATGGGCATGGAGTGGCCATGGGGACACCAGTCAGGACAGTGTAAGGGGGAGCTTGCTTGCGGTTTCTCAGGGTAGCATGGTACCCTAGGAGGCCACTCTG